GCGCCCGGATTCCCGCTCCTCCTGCCACAGTTTCCGACCTGCGAGCTCGCTGGAGTGTTGCTTCTGCTCCTACTAAATATTCGTCTTAATTATTTAAACATTTAATTATGTCACTAATATCCAAGCTCATTAAATAACTGCTCCTCCCTCCAGCGAGGTCCCGCCTGGAGCCAGCATCCGGCTCAGTCTGACCCCCCCTCCCCTCACCCCTTCCCTCCCTGTGGGGGCTGCGGGCGGGCACTTCCAGCCTCCTTCCCCCAGGGAAGATCCGCCTGTGCAGTGGCCTCTGCGGTGCCAGCACCTGGGCGGGCGGGGACACGGTGACAGGTCCCCAGCCTCATGGCCATCAGGTGAGTGCCTTGAGGCACAGCCAGCAGCCTCCCCTCCCCCCCCCATGACCTGGTAGGGGGCTTGCTGTCCCCATCCCTTCTCAGAAGCTTAATGTGTCTTTTTTTTTTTTTAAAGATTTTATTTATTTGTCAGAGAGAGAGAGGGAGAGCGAGCGAGCACAGGCAGACAGAATGGCAGGCAGAGGCAGAGGGGGAAGCAGGCTCCCCGCCGAGCAAGGAGCCCATGCGGGACTCGATCCCAGGACGCTGGGATCATGACCTGAGCCGAAGGCAGCTGCTTAACCAACTGAGCCACCCAGGCATCCCTTAATGTGTCTTTTTAGGCTACATATTTTCATTTTATTTAACTCTTATAAAAGACTGATTTGTTTGAGGGGGGAGGGGCAGAGGGAGAGACAGAGAGACTCGCAGGCAGGCTCCCTGCTGAGCTCGATCCCAGGACCCTGAGCTCACGACCTGCACAGAAACCGAGTCAGACGCTCAACCAGCTGAGCCCCCCAGGAGCCCCACATATTTAATGTTGCTTTTATTGTAGGAAAATAACAGAATGAAACTGATGCAAAACAGAGCAAATTATTTGTCAACAGTGCGTTTTATTTGTGTGGGGATTTTTACTTTTAAAAACATTTTCCTGGTTATTTTTCTCTGAATTGTAGGAACATCAGACAAATGGGTAAGCTTTAAAAAGTAAAATTGAATTAAAATCACGCCGAATCCTCAGTCATTCACGGGGACTGGGCTGCCTCACGTACGCGTGCGTGGAAAGCGTTGGCATTTCTTTACCACGAAATGCAAAACGGTGGGAAGACAGTGCGATTAGCAAATGGTGGGTCTGGAGCATTCGTTAGTTACCTGCTCCCTAATTTATTAATCCCCAGTCTCTGGTAATTGGTCTCTGCAGCCGGTTTCACCGGTTTACTATGAACGTCCTGCAGAAACGTGAGCCCTGAATAGTAAAGCCCCCGCCCCCGTAACTTAGCAGCTGGGCCGTCTCCCTGCACCTGGTGGCCCAGTCCCCCTGCCCAGTGGCCCACTGGTGTCCATGCTCTTCCTGTGTCTTCCCACTCATGCCACCCTCACACAGCCCAGCAGGTCAGTGGGGACTACATCGTCGTCCCTTCTTACCCGCGGGATCTCGCCCGGGGGCCTCCGTTTCACGGTCCTCTGCACAACTTCCACATGGGAGTGGGTGTGACGCGTGCTCAGGAAGACCGTGCAGGACCCACGGGTCCCAGGGGCTCAGTGGAACTGTCCCGAGTTGGGTAAATGTGCTGAGCACTGGGGCAGTGCACAGGGGACAAGACCAGTGTATGGCTCTCAGCCGGTGCTTACGAACCCCTCCCAATCACACTCATCAGGACGGACTTCGAGGGGACCAAGGGGAGAACTGGGAAGGAGAGAAAAGCCAGCCACACAGCAGCGGTGGAACACTGTGTCTTTTATTGAGAACATCTCCAGTCCTTTGTCTACAGGACAGCGTCTCATGCTTGGTTCCGGCTGGTCTCGGTGCGAGGACAAGCTCATGCGGGTCGCACGGGCGGTATATACATCAGTGTACGTACAGAGGACACCGGGGCCTGGGTCTTAGCGACAGGGCTCTTGGCTGAATTACATTCATAGTAAAGTGTCCCAATTCTAAAATAAAACAAAATAAAAGCACATCGCCCAGTATCTGGAGAAGCAAACTGCTTCCAGGCTCACTCGACACACATTCCACAGACTGCCTTTAAACACTGGTGGTGGCGTCCAGAAGGACGGGCGTCGGCTCCTGATGTCCCATCAGCCCACGGCGGGGCCGAGCTACATGTTCTTGGGGCTCGGGGCTCGTCCCTGCACCGTGAGTGAGTGCACACAGCGGCTCCAGAGGACAGCGACGCGTCCGGATTGAGCCAGACCGTGGCCTCACCGGCCCCAAGGACGTGACCGGCCGCGTGGCTATAGAGGGGGTCACAGGACACGCCAGGGGACAAGGACAGACAACACTGGACACGCGCATGGTCACAAATACTCTGCCCTTCCCGCGTACATAGGTGTGGGGTTGGTAACGAGGAATCCTTTGAGAGACTCTCTAGCTTCGTAGATTTTAGGGATGGGAAAGCCAGCCGATTTTACTTCTCTTGCTAGAACGAATTTACAGTTGGGGTAGACCCTGTATTTTGTGTAAGATGTTTCAGAAATAAAAAAACATCTGATATTTGTGTTTTGAGAAAAAGCGGAGGGGCGTGCAGCCCTCGCCCACAGCATTCACGGAGCCACACCCAGGTCTGCCCGAGAGCGGCCTCGCCCCAGCGTCACTGCATGGAAACACGGGAAACAGTTTTTACAAAGAAGCGGCGATCCCGTCGTCTGGGCAGCAGGGAGGGAGGTCACGGGAATAAAAACACATCCCAGGGAAGTGAGCGCCGGGTGAGATGTTGGCTTGTACGTTTTAAAATAAAGTAACTGTTTCTGATTAAATGAGTCAAGCACACTCTGATTCAGAATCAGAATTGCGCTCTGTGGCATCTGACCTGCGAAGAGGGGACGCCCGGCCTGGGCTGACCCCGGGCGGCGGGAAGAGCCCCGCCGGGGACACCACTGTGACTCAGGCCTTCCTCTAGCAGGATAGTGGCCCGCAGCCAGTGTCTTCCTGGAATTAATAGGTTTAGCGAACAAAACAGAAGAGAACCCTCCCAACCCCCTGGTCAAAATGTCCTCAAAATTGAAGATTTTTGTCAAAAACCCAAGTTCTTGGCTGTGTCAATTTGTCTAAGTCTCTAGAATCCTGACTAAGGGCATGGTATGCCAAGTGACACCTGGGGAGACCGGGTGGTGCACATTGAGCCTCGGAAGGGACCCTTTCAAGGGCCGAGTCTCCTGACCCGGTGCCTGGAGGAGTTCACGTTTCTGCTTCTGTTCTGCTCCCGCTGTCCAACCTGTGAGCCGCCCAGGGTCCCAGGCGGACAGGGCTCCCTTCCTCCCTCCCGGCCCACCTGTGGGCCTGGACCCTCGCACAGCTGGGGGTCGGCCAGGACCGGCACACAGGACAGCCGCACACTCGGAGCGGGGACGCCGCGCTCGCCCCAGTGGTTAGCGGGAGGGAGGAAGTCAGACATACTGGGTAGTGTTTGTATGTATAATGCAATACATTTCCACTGAACTTTTCATGAAAATCCACGTATTTTTTTAAAAACTAAGTCCATCTCCCAATCCCCATTAGAAAAAATACCATTTACCGAGAGAAGAAAAACGCAGGGCTCTCGGATGGTCTGTGCGCAGCACCTGCTGGGGGAGGGCGGCGACACCAGCTGACACCCTTCCTGCTACAGCGGAGAGAAGGTGGAGGCCCCTGAGCCAAACCACACCCCTGGGTCCCTGCAGCACGCCAGCCCCACCCCCCGCCCCCCAGGGACCGCTCGCGACAGGGGCAGGCACGGCACTTCTGGTCCGAGTCTCCTGCTCTGAGCACGTGGGGTCCAGGCAGAGGGGACCGTGGCCGCCCTGCTCCTGTTCTGCGTTTTCACAGTCTGGCAAGGTGAGACGGGGTCTCCTGGCTATGCCTACAGCCTCCACAGCAGCCCCTGCCCACTTCCGTGTAAACGGCCCTGATCCAGCAGGGGCAGGACGCTCCCCAGGGCTCCTGTCTGATCCTGAGTGGAAGCAACAAGGCAATTGGTGCAAATCTCTGAGCTCAGGTCCAGGTGCCCCAGGACCCTTGCCCGTACTCCCGTCTGCTGGCTCGGCCCAGGGCCACCCGGGGGGCTGGGGGATGTGCAGCAGCGCCCCTGGGCCACCCCGGGCACCAGCAGCACCCCTTCCCTGCCGTGACTGTCAACGTCCAGACCCTGGTGGGGACGATGCCCGTGGCACGCTTCCTCACCAGCTTCCAGCCTGAATACTGACTTCCAAACATGTCTTTGATAAAGCTGGAAAGAAGAATTTAAAAATATGCCTCAGTGGCATTTTCTAAGAATGAGTCTATCTACTTAATTCTATTTCCTTCCTGTGAAGATGTCTGGGGAGTCATCCATATCCGTGGGATTCGGAGATAGGGAGGGGATTTTAGGCTGACTTTTGTGCACTGGCCCCTACGGCTTCCTCCTAGTCCCTGAAAGTCAAACACTGCTGAGAACCTCACAAGAATGGCCAGGATCACTGCCCCGGTCTCATCTCTGGCTACTGAGACGTAAACCAACACACGTTTTCCATGATGTGATTCCAGTTCCGGGGATCTGGGCTGCGCCCCCACGGTTGCACGCCGTCACTGCGTGGGGGACTTGGGGGAGCGCAGGGCCGGGCCCCCCCTGCGGGGTCTCCTGCGCTGGGAGGACCCGCCGAGCGATCCGGGGGACCTGCCCGCGGCACGGCTGCGAGGCTTCTCCTCCTACCGCTACTTCCTCACCTTCTCCACAGATAAATGCTCTTCTCCAATTAAAATAACGTGGCCTAAGAGTGACTTGATATAATTACTTTATAAACCACGTTCCTAACTCTGAATAAATTATTTATTCAAAAATTTCACACAAAGTAATTTCTATTTTCCTAAACTTAAGGAAGCCCTACTCAGTAGAACTCAATTTCTAGACGTAAACGGAGATGGAAAGCAGTCACTGGGTCATTCCAGGGGTAACGATGTTGTAGAGGGAGACGCTGGACCCCACACCCTCCCTGCCCAGCACCCCGCGTCCCCACACCCCTGCCCCCGTGCGGACGTGAGGCTCCGGAGACGGCGCCGGACGCGGGCAGCCCCCCTTCCGGGTCAGGGCGTGAGAGAGAACTGGTCCTGCTCCGTGGGCTTCTCCACCCAGGCGCCCAGCCCCGCCTTGATGAACGCTTTGAACAGACACGCCTTGGCGGCCTGGTACTCCTTGGCCACCAGCTTGGAGTCGTGGTACATGTTGGGCTTAGCGATCTTGGCGCGCAGCAGGCTGGAGGGAGCCTGTGAAGAGTTCGGACACAAGCACGAGTGTGGAAGCAGCCACAGCAGAAACCAAAGCTCAGTAAGACATTCGAAATCCGGTGTTCGGTCCCGTGCAGGCTTCCGGGGCACGTCACCCGCCGGAAGGCGCCTGCCTCCGAGGACTGTGTCACGGGGGCGAAGCGTGAGCCCCGGGGCGGTCTGCGAACTCTCCCCCACAGGGTCCAGGCCAAACAGGCGTTTTCGGACCCCAGGCTCTAAACAGGCACTTCTGAACCCACGGGGAGTTCTCATTCCAAGGTGAGTGTTTTCAGCCATTTACAACCCAGCACCTGACTGGCCACTTTGTCACACGGGAGGACACGGAGGCACTGCCCCCGCGGCTGCCTGACTCGTGTTGGTGCAGATCGTGAGAATAAATGCGGTGCAAGCCCCCCAGCCCAGACGCCCGTCCTGTAGGACCAGGGCCCGAACTCGGTGGCTTCTGTCCACACGGCCACGCCGAGGGCACCACCTGCTTCTCAACAAATACCCACCACCACCCATGAAGGGGAACCAGGAAAATGCCCGTCGACCGGAGGAGGATTTATCTGGGGAAACGGACTCTGCCCTCCAGCAGGAAACAGGCCCAGAGCCTTCTAAGGGCTGTGGGAGCCCTGGCTCTCCCTCCTCCGGGTGGGGCCAGGCAGAGACGTCCCAGGGGGATGCAGGGGCAGGGTGGGAGGAGCTGCGGAGGAGGCTTTACTGGGGAGATCCGGGGCCACACTCTCAGGATGGAGGAGAAGACCCCGGAAGGCTGGGGAGTGGCTGTGCGGGCAGCGCGGGGCGTCAGGGGGGCGGCTGCGGGGAGGTGGGGTGCTGCGGGAAGGAGGGGCCGGTACCTTGCCGTGCACACGCATCCAGCGACAGTACAAGGCGTGCTTACACAGGCGGGACGCACGGCCCAGCTCGTCCTTCCCTGTCGTGGCGTTGATGACCTCGATGGCCGCGTCGCCCACCGTCCAGTTGACGCTGAAGTTGGGCGCCTTCCCCGGCTGCCGCGCTTCTGCGTTGCTGATGCCTGGAGCGGAGAGACACCGGTGAGGGACAAGGAGCCCACGGCGCGCCTGAGCGGTGTGAGCTGCCCAGGTGCACTCACCCCTGCCCAGTGCCACCTGCTGCCGCCCAGGAGCGGCCTTGACTGTGCTCGGGAGGTGGGCAGGGCCCGCAGACACCCAGAACCTGTCGGGACATCACAGCCCCTCTGAGCGCCCTCGGGATCAACAGCTCCAAGCGCGGGCGCGCGAGCCCCTTCTGGGGCTGAGTCGGGTCCCATAAGGTTGTGCGGGTGAGGGCGGCCCTCACACTCACGCCCCGAGCGCCCCACATGCCAGGGGCGGGGCACGGCCGGGCTACCCCCCCTTGCACGCACTGTACCCAAGACGCGAGGAAGCAGACTTAAGCAGCGCAGATACGTTTTCTTACCACACTGACGTGGTCTTGTCATCGCGAACCGAGCCTCCCTTGGAGGGGCGGAGAGACTTTTAAAGGACGCTCAGATGACTGGGAGCGGAGTGCTCACCTCCCCTCATCAGTGCCGCGGGTGCGACAGTCCACACCTCGGCGGGGACACAGACCACCCGACACAGGGGGTGTCTTCAGGACACACCCCCGACGGCAGCCAGCCGGGTGCGGGGACCCGGAGGAGGAGCTCAGCCCCGGCACGGGCAGCCTGCCGCTCCCTGACAGCCGGGGCGCCGGTGAGCTCCGCGGGCTCCCACCCTGGTCCTTCGCTCCATTTCTGCTCTGCGCAACTGTGACCCTCCCCCGGCCCCGAACAGAAAGCCAACGTCACACGTGGGCCAGCAGGAAAGCTTCATCGTGGAGAAGCCCCAGTTCTTCAGGCAAAGCAGTCACCAGTGTCAGAGCAGGGTGGAAAGTCCTCCTTACAAGTCACCCGTGTCTGGGATGGCTGCCGCGCCAGAGGGCCCTCGGCCGGGGGGCCCCGCACTCCCATGGCTGCACTCAGGCCGCCGGGAGCCCCGGCCCTCTCCTGCAGGCTCCTCTGCTCCTCACCGCAAGGCCGGCCGTGGCCGGTGCCAGCTCCAGCCGACTGCGCGCCCCGGAAGCTCCTCCCGCAGTCGGTGCGACGCCCCGGGGGCCGCCTTGTGACCTGCTTCTGAGGAAGAAGTCAGGATTGGGGTCGCCACTCTCTCATGCCGGCCCCGGGCAGTGAGCGCTTCTACTTCCCAGAGGCCTCTTCACTGACCTGTCACAGACCGCGAGGGCACGGCCTCAGGAGTGTTCACAAAGGGCGCACACCCGTCACCAGCGTCCCAGCAGCCGGTCACCAGCAAGGGCCCACTTGCCTGGGAGCTCTCCTGCCTCACGACCGGTCCTGCCCTGCGCGGGTCGTCATGGCACTGACCCCAGCACTCTGGCTGGGGCTGCCCGCTGGGAGCCTTACCTTTGTGGGGCCATTTACACACATGTACTCCCGTGCGCCGCACCCTTTGCTCGAGGTCACGTGTGTGAGTCACACACCCCGTGACAGAGCTGCCGCCTGCCCCCCCGTTGCACCCGGGACCCCGCTGGGGACATGCCACTGGAGTCCTCCTCACTCTGTTGTTGGTTCTAGCACTTGGCTATTCTGAAGAGTGTGTGTGAGCATTCCTGACCACGTGTTGGTGACACAGGGCCAGGTGTCTGACGGACGCACACCAGGCGTGCAACGGCTGGGTGTACACACAATGTCACACGGAAGCGTTGAAAATACCAGGCAAACCAGGTCAAGCTGGCTAGAAGCGTCTCCTACTTGATCACCTGGAAACGCTACAGGGAGCCACGAAACGGAGCGGCAGCGTCTGCGGGGGAGCAGGGCGCGGCCCACCACTCAGCCGGCTCACCATACAGTTCAAGAAGCCACTCGAAACACAGGAAAATCAATGAAATTACAAATCGATCCAACAAAATTGCCTTCCTAGAAAGAAACCCTACTGGCTGGGACAGTCCCTGAACTTCAGCGCGGCGACGAGTTCCCGTTCTCGCGAAGCAGGCGGTCGCACAGGGCGCTGGCGCCGTCCCACGGCCCGCACGGCTCACGCGGCCCCTGGGATCTACGGCACCTGCTTCTTTTTCCATTTGTTGAGATTAAACACAACTTTAAAGGTTCTGGGTGGGATATCACTCACAGCTTTTGGTTAGATTTTGATAAAACCGTCCTGTCGGTAAGCGAAGGGCCGTGAGAAGCCGCAGTCCATCCACCCGAGAGGCCAGAGCCGACCAGATTAAGGGGAACCGTGGCCCGTGGGCCGTTGGCAGTGAGACACATGGCCTGCCTACGGCTCTTCTCCAGCACAAAAAGAACGGGGAAGACAGGGCCAGAATCTGTTTTTTTAAAGGCTTTAAACAAATGCTGATCTTGCTGAGACAGAAAATGCGATGTGTGTGGCCAACCTTCCTGGGACGGGATGGCGGCAGGGCTCAACCTGACACCCCAGTCATACGCCCTCCATCACAGGGCTGTGGGTCTCCATACACAAGGTCCCCGGCCGGCCACAGCAGATGGGCCGCGGACAGCACAGTTCTCGTGCCACACAGCCCGCAGGCCCCCAGTCAGGGCTTGCGGGAGAGGAGCAGCCCTCGGTGGGCACAGCCGTGCGGGCAGCTTCTCCTGCAGTCAAACCCACCTTCCCCTCAGACTTCCCCTTTCATCCACCCTGCTGCTCGGAGCTCACGCTTCCCAAGTAAAGCACTTCAACTTCTCCCCTCCGTCTCTGCTGTCCAGGGAACGCAGACCAAGACCTGGAGATGTCGTTCCAACTTCCAACCAAAACCAGCTCTGGACGACTGGCTGCTCAGATCACCAGGCACACAATCAGGGCTACACTGCAAGCACTCTATTTTGGAAGGGGAACACAGAAAGGACCGGTGTTTAAGAATGGGCATTCTGTGATTTAAATATAGGTTCTGACTTTCATTTCTGGGTGAGACGGAGTAAGAGCTGCTGGATTTACCCTCCTTACTAAAATAGTAGCAAACCAGACAAAATACATCAAACACCAGCCTTCAAGACCCTGGACATTAAACAAGGAAGGGCAGTGGTTCCTGAGAGACTGGAGACCTATGAGGTGAACCCCATGAGTGCTCCAGGCTACGGTCCTGACAGCGTCCAGGCAACAGTGTGGAAAGAAGGAGCCGAGGCAGAGCCTGCAGACCCCCTGAACCGAGAGCTCGGGAAACTAAGGTGGCCAGGCGGTGGCCAGGAGGGTGCAGAGGCCAGAGAGCTGCAGAGGGTCCCCTGAGCGTCAGCGGAGGGCGGACAAGAGCACACACGCTGCTCAACACTGGGCAAGAACTGCCCAAAAGGGTCAGAGAACATGCCTGATGGTCACACAGAGACATGAAGAGTTTAGGTACACACTTGAAGTCATCAACCATCACACAGAAAGATCTAGAACAGAAAAAAGATTAGTGAACTTAAAGATACAATAACAGAAACTATTCGAAATGAAACACATGGGAAAGAGACAGGGAAAAGAAAACCCAGCACATCAGTGCGCTGTTCCACAAGCCTGTCAGCTGACGCACATGTGACTCAGTTCCTGAAGGAGGGAGGCAGAAGGGGGTACAGAAAACATGAAGAAAAAATTAGACAAATTTTCTGAGATCAATAAACGCACAGATCTAAGAATCTCAATGAAGCCCAAGCACGAGAAATGTGCAGAAGGCGACACCAAGCACATCATGACCAACTGCTCCACGCCAGTATGAAGAAAAAACGTCAAGCCCGGGCAGAGGAACAGCACCACATACGGAGGGACGAAGATGAGACGGCAGATTTCTTACTGCAAATAGTGCACACAGCACGACAGGGAGCAACATCTTCAAAGTGCTAAAAGGAGAAGAAAAGAAAACACTGCCATTTCAGCAAAAATATATTTGCCCAGAAATATATATTTTAAAAAGGAATGCAAACTAAAGGCTTTTCCAGACACACTGAAGCTGAAAGACTTCATCACCAGAGGACTCGCACCGCAAAAAAGTAAAAGGAAGTCCTTCAGGCAGGAGGACATGGTAACAGAGAGAAATGAGGGTCTACTTAGGGGAACGAAGAGCACCAGAAGTGGCAAATCTCTTTAAAAGCTAATTGGTTGTCAACATAACACTGTTTATCAACTACACTGGAATTAAAATTAAAAAATTAAAAAAAAAGCTAATTGACTGTTGAAACAAAAGTAATAGTATAGTATAAGATTGTTACCATATGCAAATGTTAAATGTACAACAGTATCAGAGACATCAGGAGAGGAGAAATGGAAGATTCCATTGAGGAATCTTTAAAAAAAAAAAAAAAGACAAAAAGATCAATGGAAGACACTAGTATCCAGAAACAGACCTCCGTGTGTGCGTGCAAACTGATTTTTAATAAAGATGCAAAAGAACTCAGTGGGTAAAGCATGAACTTTCCCACAGATGGTGCTGGGCTGACTGGGGAGACGCTAAGCAAATGAACACATGAGCTCAGGATGGGATGTAGTCCCAAGTTTAAACACCGAGCTATAGATTTTCTAAGAACACAACAGAGGAGAAAATCTCTGTGACACTGACTTAGATAAACAGTTTTTATTTATTTATTTATTTTTTAAAGATTTTATTTGTTTATTTGACAGAGAGAGATCACAAGCAGGCAGAGAGGCAGGCAGAGAGAGAGGAGGAAGCAGGCTCCCCGCTGAGCAGAGAGCCCGATGTGGGGCTCGATCCCAGGACCCTGAGATCATGACCTGAGCCGAAGGCAGAGGCTTTAACCCACTGAGCCACCCAGGCACCCAGATAAACAGTTTTTAGATGGAACATCAAAAACATGACTTAACAAAGAAAAGTTGATAAATAAGATTTTACCAAAACTAGAATTATTTGGTCTCTGAAAGCCATGGCTAAGAGAATGGAAAGAAAAACATTTTCAAATCATGTATCTGATAAAGATCTTATAACCAGGACACGTAAGTAACCCTCAAACTCAGTAAGAGATTAAACAACTCAGTAAGAAACGAGGAAAGTTTTGAAAGGTTCACTGAAGAC